AAGTTCCATAACTATATGATTAAATACCAATAAAAACATAGAAAGATAAATGTAAACTCAAATGGCTAACATTTCAATGATTGAAAAAAAAAATGCAAACCTAAGCTACAATTTTTAAACAAATAAAGACAATATTACCCGTTAAATCTTTTAAGTGAATAAGTTTTAAAATAAATTTGTTTTTTGGTCAAAAGTTAAATATTAATAAAATAATCTTGCTTTCTATCAAAACTAGTAAGAAAAAGGTAAAACTCAAACATGTATAAATAAAAATTTTAATAGAAGTAAATTTGACCAAACATGCATCAGTTTTTATTGGCAAACCCTAACTTTTACCCTCTAAATCTTCGAACATTACTTGAACAAATTTACATGACAAAAGCAATATTTACAGCATGTTTGCGATGATTTGTTTTTAAAAATAAGCAATAAATATATAACTTGTTTTTAATGTGAACCCACTTACATTTTAAAATAAACTACAATTTGGAACTTATCTTTAAGATAATTATTTTATTGGAAGAATGTGTTATTGAAAATAAATTCGAAGAAAAATGAGTTTTATTTTTTTATATATAATGGGGCTCAAACTGAAGCTTGATCTTCCAACTAAGGTCAAGATACCTTCCTGTCAGTTAATTTTACTTCTATAACTAAGTATTTCTTGCATAGTTGGAAAAGAGTACAAAACAAACACATGTAACACCCACAAACAGTTTTACTCATTAATTATCCAGAAATCTTGTTCATAAGCCACTCTAGTTTCAGTCCTTAGAAAGTAGTTATATCTCTTCCTGGTATTGAAAAATATCCTTACTACGTGGTTGTTCGTGTTTGTGTTTGCCTTAAAAGAGAGTCAATTTTTCTGGGAAAAGATCGATAACAACTTAGTGCATTACACTCCAAAATACTAATACCTTAATGAAATCACAAAGTTGTGGAAAGATACATCTGCTAAGCCATTGAAACTAATAGCTTAATAAATCTATAGTATTTTACAAACAAGATAACACACAGATTATTCAGTCATCTGACAAGTAGAAAATGGTAGGCTCCTTTGGCTCAGTGATCTCAACAGTCCCCTCCAGCATCTTAGCCACTTTCCCCATGGATGGCCTCATGTCAGGTCTATCTTGGAGGCACCACATTGCAGTCTTCACCATCCTATTTATCATATCAAAATGCTCTCTGCTGTCGTAATTGTGCTTGATCCGATGATCCAATATGTCTTCCACATTCATCTCCTTGAAAACTTTATCAAAAGCCCACCTTGGGAAGAACCATTGATGACTCTCCACCTTTGGATCTAGTTGTACAAAATTCCTTGAACCACTAACAATTTCCAGGAGAACCAATCCGAAACTGTAAACATCGGCTTTTGACGTGATAGGGTCCGGCCGTGTCCATTCTGGTGCCATGTACCCTGGGGTTCCACGCATTCGTGACACGCTCATCATGTCTTCTTTCTTCTTCAATTTGGCCAGTCCGAAATCTGATACCTTTGGGCAAAAATCATCCCCTAAGAGAATGTTTTCAGGCTTGATGTCACAATGTAGAACCCATTCCAGACACTCTTCGTGCAAGTACGCTATTGCCCTTGCCACGCCTAGTGCGATTCTATACCGGATATTCCAATCCAATATTGGCTTCTTCTTTGAACCAACAATTTCAACCGTTTCTTCCTCCATTTCAGATGATTCCACCACCTCGACAGTTTGAAATAAAAACTCATCTAGTGAACCATTTGGCACGTACTCGTATACTAGTATCCTACTACCCTTCTCAGCACAAAATCCCCATAGCCTGACCAGATTAAGGTGGTGCATCCGGGCTATAATTGTGACCTCTGCCCAAAAATCAGCATCGCCGCCAGTAATATTCTTCAGGCATTTCACTGCCACCACACGTCCGTCACTTAATTCTCCCCTGTAAACAACACCAAAACCGCCCTTCCCAACAGGATTTGTAAAACCTTTGGTTGCAGCTTTAAGCTCAGCATAGCTGAACCTTTTCGGTCCACCAGAAGGCATAACTTCAAGGCCAAACGTCCTGGCCATATCCCTATACTTGATGTACTTCTTAAGAAATGTCCAAAAGAAAAACACACCACTAAGAAGCTCAGCTGCAAACAGAGTTGAAATTATGGCAATATTCCTAGTGGTTGTGGTAGACTCTTCTGGGGGTAAAGGGAGGCTTATTCTAACTGGACATGTTGTTTCCATCAAATTTGTCATGCCAGTGAAATTTGATTCATCTTCTTCAGATCTATCAACCCTCAAGTACATGACAGTCTCTGTTCCTGGAGACCAATATCCAAAAGACATCTTCTCTAGTATAACACAATAATTTGTTCCATCATATTTAAACATGAAGCCTAAACATCTCGAATTAGCCATACATAGTCCTTCACAAGTTGAAAAATTCCTAGTTTTAGAGTCAGTTTGGTTTATCCCTCCAGTAAAATTCACAAAATCCAAACGTAAAAACTTGCTGTTTCCCACTACCGGTTTTTTCGGTTCACATGAATCATTAGGCCCTCTTTTATACCCCGGAGGGCATACACATGATGTAGAAAGATCTGTAACATTAAACATACATATATAGTTTGCACCACACGTACCATGAATTGTACACAGCTGAAACAAAGCTTGCCAGCCAGTAATCCATTGCCCTGAGCTTGGATCATAGCTGTACAGCCTAAGATTTCCGTCTTCATCGAGTGTCAATCTTCTCAACTTCCTTACACCATAATCCGAAGAGTAGTATATTTGATTATTTTCTAGGACAATGTTCCCGAGATCATCCAACCTAAGAAAATTCTGATCCACAACACTGGTCCAGTAAGTATCATTTTCCGGCACGAAAACAAGCCGTTTGGTCTCAAACTTGAACTTCCCGTTCTTTGTAACAAGTGCAGACCCATTGATACTCTGATTTGGAAGAAAAGTATCAGTTGGAATCGAAAAACTATCCCAATTTCCATACACGAGCTTCCCAGAGTCCTGTAAAGTAAGCCCCGTTCCATTCGTACCCGAAACAGGCCACAGGTTTCGCCCACCAGTAGAATTGATCAAGCGCAGTTCGCCAGAGCGCATAATGATCAAAGAACCTGACCTTCCCACCGGAGAATTATCATTCGCCGACCAGACGACGGTGGTATTTCCCGATATGTTATGGTACCAAATAGAAAAGGTGTAGAGATTTGGTCCATTTCGAGTGGGTAGTTCGAAAAAACCTGCAGCAAAAGTGGAGTTGGGGGAGAGGAGAATTCTATTTTGTGATGGAGTCCATGGGGAGATGGAGATTGAAAATGAAGAAATAATTTGCTGCCGTTGGGATGTTGAAAACTGGAGATTTGAGATGAAGAAGATGAAGAACAAAAAGAGATTGAAATTGAAAGCCATGATCGATCAAATTTGGTTGTAGTGTGAAGATTGAAGGTGTTTATCTATAATTCATTCATGGCGGCTTTTGAGGACTATTCGTGCGTTGACGCAAGACCGTTGACCATGAAGCCGTGCCCACTGAGTCTGTTATTTTATTATTGGATGCCGTGTAAAATATTCTGTCATAATTCTAATTTTAATAGGGTGTGAGGATTATAACGTTTTGAGTTTACATGACCAATATAAAACAAAGGAATCCAAGCCAGCTTTTATTGACTTATATTTATTTCACTGATAACCACTTAGAAAATTTTCATATTAGTCATTGAAGAATTTTTTGTCACCAAAGTTAATAATATTACATAATTGATTAATCTGTTAGCTTGATTAACTTCCTATTCATCGAATAGTTGTTAAACCTTCAGGTGAACTGATGATCGTTAGAGCAATCAATTCCGTCTAATCGCCTTTATATTTTAGTTCTGTTATGACAATTTTAAAAAAGGTTGAACCTCAATCTTGAGAGCCTGCACCGTCCCATCCTTAGAGAATCGTGAGGGAGGTAAATCGCGGGATGTGTCCCAACAGGTCAGGAAACAAGAGCTTGCCCGTATACTGATGTCCACAAAGAGTTCAATTCCATATCTCAGGAATCAAACACTCATACTGCAACTATTAGCAAGGCTGAGACTACTTCACTTATATCCTTTACACTATTGGGATATGTTCCAGCAGGGCAGGGAACAAGAATTTATCCGTACACTGGTGCCCACAAAGTGTCCAATTCCATATTTCAGGAATCGAACCTCATAGTGCAACTGTCAACAAGGTTGAAACTACTTTACTCATATCATTTGCACCACTGAGATATGCTCCCAAGGGCTTGTTATGAAATTTTTACCACTTACTAAAGGGTGTGATTTTGGATTTTTTTATTTTTTTATTTTTTTTGGCTAAATAATTTTTTCTCACACGAATTTGCATTTTCTTTTGAACATGTGTAATTTTATGACATTGACACAATTATTAGGGAAAATTGTAGCTTTCATTTAATAGCAGACTTAGTCCAAATATTTCAATTGTGTCACCACAGAAATCAAACCTTTAAAAAATTCGTAGGCGAAGTTCAAATTGATGGAAACTGTCAGTGTGGCCGTTAGTTGACCAAGAAATGAAAAATCTTATAATTTTGACCAAATAAATAAGGGCATTTCAATCAAAACACATTTACCCTTCTACGAAATTCTTCTTCTTGTTCTCCCCACTCCTCTCCTCTATCACAGAAAGAATTATATTTAGACCAGGGGAACTATGGCGAACATGTTTGGCTAGTTTTAATTCTTTTCAAGCATAGTATGTATTTTTCTTATTTATAATTAAAAAGAAAATTTATTTGGACAATAAAACGAAGATTAACGTCAAAATAAGTAATTTATACATTGACCAATTAAAAATGTGCTAATTTTAATTTTTACTTAATTATCGATTTATAAATTTATTTGCTCATAAATTTTTAAACTTAGCCAAACATGCAATAAAGACCCGTTTGACATAACTTGCCAAGACCACTGGTGCACACAATTGAACCATTTGTCACTTTGTACTTAAAATCAATTAAAGCATAATAATGCACCCTGAAATCAACAATTTAACAGAGTTTGGATAAATGACTCCCCAACTTTACAGAATTAGCCTCAAGCAAATCATGGAAAATTTGTAGAAATTAAAGTAATTCAATACGATGACCATTGAGTCGTTTTCCGTCTTTGTCACGTCATGTTCGTTGGAGAAGGCTTGGGGTCTGTGGACCAAACAAATGAATGATTTTCCCCAAATGTAATAACGTCATGTCCACTGGAAAATTATTTATGATTAGAAATCAATTTTGAGTGAATGAATAATCAATATCGACTGTGAACCACTTAAAACATGAATATTATAGGAGATAAGGTTATTAGAATATTTTGGAATATGCTACGACTAAAAAATCACGTCTTTTTGAACACCTTCTTTATGTCTCTTTAGATGGAAACATATTCCAATGGCCATAACTTCTCGATAGCCAAGACACATCTTTTAGAAATTATAAAGAGCTAGATATTAATAATCATAAAACGTGACCAGATGAAGAGATTGAACCTCAAGCCTTATGAGTCTAGGCGTGCCGAGACGAATAATCCAAGTATTGTCGTATTTTAAATATTATTTTAGCTATTCTAGTAGTGATATAAATAGATAATGCTGGGGGAATCCAGAATTCGAGTCTAGTTAGGGCAGGCGTTGAACGTTTACCACCAACGGTCAACGTCTGTGATAGTGAGGTCGTTTATTAATATTTGCTGGGGGAATCCAGAATTCGAGTCTAGTTAGGGCAGGCGTTGAACGTTTACCACCAACGGTCAACGTCTGTGATAGTGAGGTCGTTTATTAATATTTAATTACATAATATTCAAAAAATCGTATGGAGTAAAATTAGAAGAATTAGATGCACTACTAGAACTAGAACTAGATTCGATCTTTTATTTGGGATGAAAAAATGAATCCATAGTCTGCAAAATGCATTGCCCCAATTTATTTTTCAATTAAATAGACAATATATATTAATAAAATACCAATATTCAGTTTACGACTAAAATTAATTAAACAAGCATTATTATATTGACAAAGTTCAAATTATTTATAATCTCCAAAATCTATTGAATAACAACCTAACAGGAACTAGAAGGTAGCTGGTAGGGATTTCATCTTGAATTATTTATCACAAAATACGGTAATAACTCATAAAACATAAATTGGAACTAGTAAAACTAAATGATAAATCAAAAAATGAAATAAAAGGACAAAAAACGAAAACCAAAACAAGGGAAGAGAAAGAGAAAAGCTCTCACAATCACATCGGAGAGGCAAGTTGACGGCATCGTCGAAAAAGATTATCTGTAGTCACGGGCGGACCACATGGGGTCAAATGACCCCACAAAATTTTGCCCTTCTTCTTCTTTTTTTTTTTATTTTTTATAATCTACTTTGATGTACTCGTCGGGATGTCAAATGAAGTCAAAATATTACATTCTTAATACCATTTCAAAGAGCTCATGGCCTAATTTTTCACTCATTAATGACATGCGAAGTGGTCAATTATAGCAAAAGTTATGACATGTTAAAGGAGGCCGCTTGAAACTAATATTTTGAAAGTTTCGATAATATCCTAACTTTAAAAATTCGTTTGCATCATGTGCTATCTGAATCCACAAATCGTCTATACTATATAAAAGTTTGATTTGAAAACTACATCATTTTCATATCGAATGGTCCAAACAAATATTGAAAATAGTTAAATATGTATCAAACGTACGTATCAAAAAAGACGTCTAACTAGTTTTTTCTTTTAAAAAATTCAATTAATTATTATTTTTGCACAATAAATTTTTCAATATAATTTATATCGTTTTATTCGGAAGTCTTACACGAAATATGACGTAAATTTTTTAGGGTTATTACGGATTAAATGCAATTTAAATTACTTTCGAATTATATATGTTTGCTTTAAATTTGAATTTTATTTACTTCCTGAACTAAACTTGAATTTTATTTCAATTCATTTAATTTCTATATTCAATTTAATTTACTCAATGTTAACTCAGCATTTACCAACGAAATAATAAACAAAATTATACAAGTAGCAAAATTTATTTAATAATATTAATAATGATGTAATTAAACGACGTTTTCAAAGTGTCAAAATACATATTAACTTATTTTTATTGATAATATGTTATTTATTAAAAAAATTATTTTTAAAATTTTGACCCCACAATACTAAACGTCTAGGTCCGCCCCTGTCTGAATTGCGGTCGCAGCATTCATCACTGTTCGCAATCGCAGGGGAGCTCAAGCAGCACGAGGGTTTTATTGCAGGTTGATTTGGGTATTTTATTGGTGTGGGTGGGGGTAAATTGATTTTTAATTCAAAATGGGTCCTAATTTTTTAAAAATACAACAGTCCAATAGGAGGCCCAAATTTAAAAAAGTAAAAAGGGACCATCCTGTCTTCTTTGGTAATTACCACTTCCTTTTTTTAACCTTCAAATCGGGCCTAATTTTTTTTAAACAGGCAAAAGCCCAATAGAAGACCCAAAATTAAAAAAACAAAGAAAGATAAAACATCTTGTCACTTATTCTTCCCAGCGGCTTCTCTGCAACTACAGCAGCCTCTCCCTCAACGTCGACGGTAAGTGCAACTATCCGCGGATCTAGCACCTGGCGAGGTGGCATCCAGCACGCTCGGCTACGCCCCTCATCAGGTGCTGGATCCGCCCCATTATGCATAACTTGAAAATTTGTAGAAACTTAATACACACTTTTCAAGTTTTCAACAAAAATATAATTCTCAAAATCATGAATATTAAAATTATTTAGAGCTTGTTTGAGCCACATTATTTCAAAAAAATATATTTTTAAACAGTGATTTAACATCATTTCAATTACACATTTTTCAATAAAATTATATTACACGTAGATAAAAAAAATTTCCTTATTTTTTAACCACACATTTTCCATCAATACACTATTCTAAAATGCATTATTACTAAAATAATATGGCTCAAACACCCCTTAATAACAATTTTCTACAATTAGATTAGATATGAACAGAGCCTAAACCTTGTTTAACTCTTTGCTATGGCGAATAGATAGTCACAGAAGATTCGAAGCATAAACTGGACAGAGAAACAAGATGAACAAAGGATTAATGTTCTAATATTTTTTCTCTTATTGTACTTGGAAGAATTTTCTTCTCTTTAATCCCTTGTTTTCCAGTTTCCTGTCCCGAACTTTGAATTTTCTCCTAAAATAGTTTCTTTTGTACTTGTGAATCTAGGCATTGCCTAGTTGTGAAGCCCGTACTTTATTTTGATAGTAAGCGCGAATTAAGTGCTAACTTAGCAGTTGACCGCATAATAAGCACCTAAGTGCACTTTTTTTTTAATTATTATTATTATTTTTTTTTTATCAAAAACTCCTTATTTGACTTTAATTTATTAACTTTTTTATTTTTTTTAAAAGGCTTTTATTTTACTTTATTTTCAAGTTTTTGAATGATTTATCTGTATAAAAGTAAAAAATGATTTATCCCATAAAAATTTAGATAAGTTTAAGTTATAGTACTATTTATATTCTATAATTATGATTTATAGACTTATCGTATTGTTAAAAACATCAAAAATATGTACAAAAGTTCCTATAAATTTATTAAGTTGGACTTGTCTAGTTAAAAGTTGAAACTATAAAAAATAGATTAGTTTTTGCATTTCAAAAACTTGAATGATTTTATCTGTATAATTTTAGATATTTGGTATGTGTTGATTTAATTAACAAATAATTTTTAGAATGATTAACTACTTAAATTAATAACGAAAATAAATAACGATTTTTTACGTTTAGGCCTTGCTTGGTAAAGTTTGAAACTTGACTTCTACACCTAATTACACTTCACTTTTTTAGAACACTGCTGATTATAGAGAAATCTAGAAGCTACCATTTTTAGTTTATTTTACTTTATTTTAAATAAATTTATGGACTTTGAAAATACAATGGACTTCTTATAAAAATGAGTCGTTATGCTTTAATAAACTTAAATGATTTATTTATTTATTTTTTTGGTTCACAAGTATGATTCTTTCTTTAAAAACTCAATTCTATCTTCAAGTTGATTTTTTTTTTTTAAATCGAAGTTAATTCATTATTTTTTGAGTTGTATTTTCAAGTTTAGCTCAAGCATACCTAATTAGGCAAAGGGTGTATGGAATTTTAGGAGTTTTACATTCTACGCTGCTTAAGTGGTCATTTTTTTTTACCTCTTAAAAATTCAAGGCGAGTTCACAAACATTTATGTGATCCAAAGTACGCTGAGACTGATTCTTGTGGCTAAAAACCATGCGGTATATGTGGATATAATTGGTAAGCATGCACTAAGTAGGTTAGACTGAAATTGGTACGACCTATCTGGAAAATGATATGATTTGGTGCTTATCGATCCTTGCAGTGATCTAGATAACATATTAAGTATTCAGTTTGAAGAGTACGTTCGCAAGAATGAAATTCAAAGGAATTGACGCGGGCCGCACAAGCGATGGAGCATGTGGTTTAATTTGTCCTGGATTTTCTTTCAAATAGAACCTGAAAAGAGAAGTGTTGGAATGCCAACAGGCGCATGATGTTTCTACTACTCAAAAAATGTTAAAGATAGGAAAATTCCTATCAAGTCAAACTGAGCATAAGGTTTTAATGTTAAGTTTGAAACGAACCCTTAAACAAGACCAACTTTAATTAGTGACACTAAAGAAGTACGATTTGAGTAAGTTTAGGGGTGACAGATCCCCCAGTTTCACAGAGACAGTGAATAGGAAGTTGGAGATTAAAATTAATAGGTGGGGATAGATTCAAACTTGGTACTTCCAAATCCAAACAGACATGAAATTTATAGTTAGTTATGTTCCCTTCTAACCATAAGACAAAGTCAAACGGAGCAACCAACCAACCCGTGTACTTGGCACCTTATTTTTATTACAACTGCCTCATGTTTTGGGGAATCTGTTAGACAAATATATGTTAAATGCCCAAATGGAAACCGCTGGCCATGTCCTAGAAACAAGCTAAACCGTGTGGAACATTCAAAATTACAAGCAATTTTAGATTAATAAAATACGAGAAACAAAGGAAGACACAAAGGCTAGGGACATTGGCAACACGAGATGAGGCTCTGGAGAAGGGCTTCCGCAGTGTTGAAGGATCAAAATAGCATCTGGATCGCCAGTCTGTCTAGGCGGACAGCGCTCCGGAATCCTGACATTGAATCGGCCGTCATAAAAGCCACGAACCACGACGAATTCTCTATTGATGTTAAGAATACAGATAGGGTTTTCAAATGGATTCGTCTCTCGACTTGCCATGTCAAGCCTCTTGTTTGGTCCATATCAAATCGAATGAAGAAAACAAGAAGTTGGGTGGTGGCTCTTAAAGTTTTGATTCTCATGCATGGTGTCATTAACTGTAATGTCCAGGCCGTTCAGAAAATTGGAAAGTTGCCATTTGATCTGTCAGATTTTACAGATGGGCATTCTGATCCAGGGAAAACATGGGCACACAACTCGTTTATACGTCAATACTATGCGTTTCTTGATCAGAAATCGATCACTATTTATCAGAATTTCGAGGAACGCAAAGCACAGAAAATTGTTTCGATAATTAAAGAGCTTCAATTGCTGCAGAAGCTGCAAGGTTTGCTTGATTTGTTGATGCAGATTAAACCAAAGTCAAATGCAACCAGGGTCCCTCTTGTGCTGGATGCAATGGATGGAATTATCATTGAGATTTTTGATATTTACAGCAAAATATGTAGAGGGATTGCCATCATTCTTGTTAATATTTATTCTGCTAAAAAAGCCGAGGCAACAATGGCACTCGAACTTGTGCAGAAGGCGAAAGCCCAAGGCGACGATCTTTCTTTATACATCGAATTCTGCCAACAGATCGGGGTAGTGAATGCATTAGAATTTCCCATGGTTGAAAAAGTTCCAGAAGAGGGAATTGAAGAACTTGAGCAAATAATAATTGGATTATCAGAGTCTGAGAAATCCGTTGGGAATGAATTGGATTCGAAACAACAGGAAGATACAGCGATTGTTGTCGTAGAATCTGAAAATTCCAATGAAGGAAAAGACTCGAAGAGAACAACTATAATCACCGATAAATGGGAGAAATTTGAAGAAGATCTCATGATCATCAGCCAAGAAAATCCCTTCTCCCCGTCTTGGGTTTCACCTGTCCTTCATTCAAAGATAAACAATCAAGAACAGCTTCCAGATTTGATCAGCTTCTAGTAATCTTTGAGCAGGGTTTGCATTCCCTTTGAAGAGCCTTCTCAATTGTCTCAGGAAGAAAAACGATTAAAAAAACTGAACAAAATGCAAATAACCGAGAAGACAGATCACACGAGGAAACGCTTCATCAATTTTCAAATGAGAAATTTTACTGTTTTTTCAATCCTAGCCATTTATAATTTCTGAGGATCAGTATTATATTTTGCAAAAACAAAAGAAATATATAAGATTTTAGAATATACAGGGTAGAATATACAGAAGATGCTATCTAAATTCTGCTTTGATTTGCATAGAACTTTCTTCATACAACAGGTTCTTTTATAATGGAATGTCATCTCTCAATGAAGAGTTTTGGCGATGTATTAACTAAGCATGAGCTTATAAATTTACTTTTCATCTTATTTAGATCAATTTTTTTATAGGATGTCCATTGACAACGCATCGATTCTTGAAATGCTGATCGACCATATTTCTTTCAGTCGATCAACTGGTTAGACAAATCCTAACATTTGATCATATTGGCATCAACCAACTACCACTTAGCATCATTGTGCGCACACAAAGAATATGGGGAAAGCAACTTGGACACAAAATGGAGTTGACACAGAGAAAAATAAAAGAGAAATATGAACATCCTGGAATTAAGAGTATATAGAATCAACAATAATAGGGCTGTCTGTACTCTGTAGTGTAAGGTATGAGACTCCTCTATTATGTTGTTCAGTAATCTCTATTTGTAGACCTAATTTAGTATAATTCCTGCCAACTGGAGTTCATATATGGGACTCGATAAATGCCTTGTAATCCAAGCTTTAATGGTCTATGCTTAGTCCTATTCAATTCTTCTCAATTGGGCTCGATCCAAAAACACTGAATCACTTGACTAAAAGTATAATGTTACACTCTTGAAGTACGAACGATCATAGAAGCACAATGGCAATTAGACTTGGCCTTCAAATCAATAAGCCATTATATTGTAGCTGTAGAATATACACAACCAAAGTTGAGGGCAAAATGACAATTTTGACCTGTAGGCCATAATGAAACGACTCGTCCCACATTGAAAAGGAGCTTATGTAAGACAGTTTATACTATATTGATAAATATAATTTACATTAGCATAAAAATATAACTTTTGCTTAAAAAGTTCAAGAAAGTTGTTAACCATACAGATGTAACAGATCAACCGATTGTCACCTGTGGTTCTCTGTTTGAAGATTGGCATACGTTCAGAGCTAAACAATGGGACATTGGCAGATCTTAAGATGAAAACAAGAATGGAAAAGGCAGATGGAAAATTAGCTCGAGAGCCACAGGTGTCGGCAAGAAGGACAACAGTTCTACTAGAGTCACTAGAGCTTCGAACAAAAAAAAAAAAAAACTATTCACATTCTGTGTATGTTTCTGGAAACTGCAGCTGAATATACACACATTTTAGCAGTGGATCCTCACCAACTATTTCTAGTAATTTAACGCCTTTCAGACTTATAATTGTTAACTATCTCATATAATCTAAATTTAAGCCATTGGAGAAGGCCTACATGCACTCATTTAAATCTTATCTTCAACTCCCCAACTCGAATGCAGACCAGATTCATATTCTGGCTAAAAGTCTCACTAGCGCGCAGTATTTTGCCTAGCTCTATACCATGTCACAATCTCTTCTGAAGTCTTAAAACTGATAAAAGAGTGGCCACATGCACTTATTTCAACAATAATTCATCATCTAAATATAAAATTTACAGACAACTAATCTTATCCAAGAAACATTATATTCCCTATTTGTTTCTGGACCTACATGTAATCTACATACGAGGCAGAATATGAATGTACAAATATGCAAGTGTAATGATCTCTCCAAAATGAGCTATTCAATTCAAAAAGAATACATAATTTATAACTGCCACGGCCTCGTAATAAAGCATTAATGCACTTGTTCGAACATCAACATATAAAGATGGCGAAAAAATCCCTAAAAATGTAAAATGGAGCAAACATTGCCATCTTAGAGCCACACGGTGTACCATCATCATTAAGTGACCTATGTCAGCAACACGATAATTGAAAATGGATGAAAAGAAATATCCCAAATTTCATACATTAAATCAAATGAAAGAAATCATTCATAATCCAAATCTTCACGGCCAGAAAAATTGCTAGCCTCTGAAACAAACAGAAGAATTAAACAACGGTTCTTAAGAACCACAAATATCTAATTTAAAAGATGTATCACTGAAAGTGCAGATAAAACCTCTGCTGATGGCCGCAGAATATATACATGCAAAATAGATCAGATTAGGAGGCAATCCAGTGGAGGTACCCATGTCATAACTTATCTTATTGTCACAAACTTGTTGGTGCCATGTTTAGCCCAGTAAGTCTTCAGATCGATTGGGTTAGTGAAATTATAATCTTCTGAAGCAAGTTTCTCCAAAACTTTCTTGAAAGCACCTTGACTCATTTTTCGTCCAGCAATTCTTGCTCCGCGTCGTTTGTTACTCATTGGCAATGGATACATAGATATAGTTGTAGTGCAACAAGCCGACTGCCAACCACCACACCCCCATCGATAACACTGTTGTGGATTACCAGTGCAAGAGCACACCGGAATTGGAATACCAGATATATCCATATCAATTCCATTTATTACAACATCAAGATTCTTTTTTGTTGTTTTGGCACGGTGAACAGAGGAATTACCATTTTCCTTCGGCACAGATGGAACTTTACTTGACTTCTTTGCTTTTGTTGGCTTTAAAGCAGCAGCAGCAGCTGACCTCTTTTTGGCAGGGCCACCTGCCTTTTTTACACTTGGCTCTTCAATTGTCACCCCAGCATCATCAGTTGTATCAGGTTGGCCTAAAATCTGCATGGAACTATGACTTCCAGATGGTTCTGCAAAAACCGGATTGTAAGAGTTTCCAGGAAACATATGCAAGAATTTATCTCTGTGATTTATCCAACTGTCTCTGACATAGTCCATGTGTGTGACTGGTGGTTCAGTAACCACGCAATCCCGTGGGCGAAAGGCCCCATTGGCAGCAACCATAATAGGATTATTGGACCCTGATAGGAAAGATTTAGTGTCTCGCTCTGTTACAGGTGACATAAGTTGAAGACCAAGATGCCCTTTAAGGGGAGGTTGTTCATAGTAACCCCAATTCCTCATGCTTAATGCATCGTCGTCCATAAAAAAACTATAGATCAGAAAAACAACAGATCAAGCATAGAACACACTTATTAAAACCTCACCCTGATTCCAGTAAAACATAAAAGCATTTCAATCGGCATGACTAAGGTACCAAAATAAAATGAAAATAATGGAGAACAGACAATCAGCCAAAGAACAGAATTCAAGTAGATCAATGCACAGTTAATCCAAATTCAACATAGTCGATCAAATAACCAGAGCAAATCAACCAAGAACCAACAGTTTTATTGAATCTCCAGAACAACCCAAATCGATAATTCATATAGCGATTCGGATAAAAATACCCCCAAAACGACAAACTGAGATTATAACCAAAAATAAACATCCACAAACCGAAACATCTATAAGATTTAAAAAAAAAAAAATTTACGAACGGGTAAATATTTACATTGCCTACCTCAAGTTCAAGAATATAAATCAACAAATCAAAGGATAATCAAACAGATCCACAACAATCACGAACAACCCCGGAAAATGATAATAAAAAATACTTTTAATTATTTTAAATTACTCAAAAATGAAGATTCCGATGAAAACAAATTCAATCTTCGCCATTGCAAACATAGATCTGATACAAAACGATGAAAACAAAAACAGATCCACAGTGATAATAACTAAAGCATTAAATCACAATATAAATCAATGCAAAAATACATTAAATTAAATGGAGCATAAAAACTGGAATACAGGGAGAAAGAGAGAGGAGAAAGAGATGGCCAGATAAATATTGTACTTCCATGAGAGAGAGAACTTACTCCTGGTTAAACAGGCCTTTTAGGTTTTTTTCCTTCCGATGAGAGAGGAGAGAGAATGTGCGAAAGAGGAGAGAGGAAAACTGAAGGGACAGAGAGACGCTTAAAGGTGAATTTCGACATAAAATATAAAAAACATTACGACATTCAAAGAAAGGACATTTTCCTAATAGTCCATTTTAGAAGGTTGGATACATATCATTTACTCTTTTTCATTAGGATTCTTAACGTGCCACGTTGTCGAAGATTTTATGCTTGAACATTATTTTACACCATGGGCTATTTGGTAGGATTTTTTCAAATAAAAAAAAAAAAATTGTTTCCGATATTAAAAAATTGATTTTAAATATGTTTAAATAATTTTTCAAAAGTATTTTATTTATTATAATAACTTTTAAAGAAAATTGACACAAGATAATTTTACCAGAAACTCTTCTACAAGAAGTAAAAATAAAAGTACATATAAAAAAAAATCTATCAAACAAACCCTACATTCACGTATTCTCGATCTAAGTATGTCGATCAAATCCATATCTGAGCCCGTTTGAGCCACATTATTTGTAGAATGAAAATGAAAAATAGAACTGTTATAAGTTCCACACAAGAGATAGAAATTAAAAAATGGTGACTTGATGTAATGGATAACGGTCATATTTTTCATTTTAATGAGGTAAAAATGTGGTTCAAACAGGAGTTCGAGCGCTTGAGATCAAGAAGCCAACATAGGTCTCGGGTAACTCTAAACTTGCTCGGCCCTGCAAAGGTCATGAACCTCAAGGCCCATGAATATGCAAGATGAAATATTTGTGACAATATTTTAAAGAGCAAATAATGTCCATGATCGAGTCTCATTATTTAATTTTTTTTTCCAAATTCAATTCTAACTATACATTCTTCTAATAAAATAATTTGCACGTAAGTTCAAATTTTTTCACTATGCCTATGTTTGAGCTCTATTGTTTTATAAAATTCATTTTCAACTATTTTTTCATAAAATAATTTTACATGTAAACGCAAAAAATTTTCAGTCGCACATTCTAAAAAGAATCACTATTTCGAAACCTATTTTCCCCCAAAATGGAGTTCATATAGGACCTACATTTTAATTACACATTTTTCAAAAAATAGCTCCTTTTTTTTTTTCAAATTAAAAAAAGGGGACTCAAACATCGCTTATATAACCTTTCATGAAATTTATGACAATAACGTAGACTTTCCCTCATTTTACTAAAATTTCAGAAACCTTACCTCTTAGCATAAGTTCACACCATTTTACCCTTTTCTCCTTATGATCTGTGCATGTTTGTTTGTTTTATTAATTTTAATTTAGAGAAAAAAAAAAAAAAACTATTTTGACTTTAAAAACTTTACTCTCTCTCTCTCTCTCTCTCGCTCTCTCTGAGTGATTTCATCCTCCTAATCATGTTTTATGACTTATGATTTCTCACTAAAAAACCGAATAAAGTAAAATAGATCGAAAATATTTACAACAAAAATGATTAAAAAGAATAAATATCAAGAGTGTTAAAAAATAAAATTAGGGAAGATTATATTATATCTAGCAATATAAAATATTTCATGAAATTTTCAGGTAGCTTTATTAAATTATTTATTTACGTTGGTTTGTTAATTATTTGCCAATCAAATTTGTTAAAGAACAACATTGTACAATTTTGTTATATTTTATTGGGATATTTGAAGCAGAGGTCCCAAACTTTTCAATTCTCTACAAGCTATACCTTAACATTCTATTTTTGCGGCTATAGTTCCAATCCTTTCACTTTAACAGTAGTCAGAATCCATTGTATAGATTCCACCCAATATTCCGTTGTCAACTTTGAAATAAAATGTTTAACTTAACTTGAAAAATTAAATAAGAAATAAAATGATATATTTACATTCTTCATAATAAAACAATTAAAATATTTAATCAAAAGAAAAATTACCGTTCATCTTATCCAAAGATCCTCACCCTCTACCCCTATCCTAGGGCCGAACCCAAGGGGAGTCCTGTAGGGTCAAGTAACCCTCCAAAATTTGAGATTACCTCCTCTTTGTTTTTTTGATGGATAAGTCATGTTTGGTGTTGATTTAAATCTAAATTTTAATTTAAATGAAAATTAATAATTAATTTTAATAATATATTTTCATAAAATTTTTAAATTTATAACTTTTATCAAAATTTACTAAAATTTTGATTTTAATCCCCACCAAACAAGGGCAAAATCACAATAAGTTTGAATTTTTTTTTTCTTTTTTCTTACTCTATTTTACTTTCTTTCACACCATTTACCAAAATCTTAACTTTTCTAATTTTTTAAATTTTTTCTACAAATTATAACATCTACTACAAATTTTTACTTTTCAATCAAATTTTCAATTAATTAGAATCTAAATTTGCATTCTCTTCTATCTTATTTGTGTATTTAGAATGTGTCTGAAATGATTTTATCCAATTTAACTATTATTTAACAAGTTTTATTTATTTGATTGAAAATTGGTTATATGTTTTTTCTTTTGATCACTTGAATTGATTAAAGTATTAAATACGTAATAAATTTTTTAAGCATAAATATGATTTTTCTTGTGATAAGCAAAATATTAACAAAATAATTGTTCGAAATCAAATGAATGAAAATTATGAGCAAAATATTAATGAATAAATGTTATTAAATGTAACTATGTATTTTCTGGGATCAAGTATAAATCATTCAAAAATCAATAATAAAATATTAAATTTGTATAGAGTTTGATTATGCCTCCCTAACTAAAAATTTCTGCGTCCCCCCATCCCTACCCAACCTGGGCTAACCGAAGAACCCGAATCCTAGTGATCTCATTCTTGCACCGACGACCTTGGCGATTTCGAAACACTAATTGAAGACGAGGACAATGATGACTAAGAGGAAGAAGACGAAGAAACCAACGCATAAATCGGGAGGACTAAATGTGTATTGATCGGGTTAGTATGGAGTCCCTTTTCGAGCACCTTTCCACGATGCAAGTCCCAGTAAGAGTGCACGATGTTTTGATTAAAGGCAACACGAAACAAAAGATTCAGTTGTCAAGGAACTGCTCAAGAACGCTATCACAGTACAACAGCTGCTTCAGGCTTCGAATGTTGCCAACGCACGGTTATAGCGCTTTGATATTTTTGATTCTGTTAACATTACACTTGACACCGACCAGCTCAAGCTCTCTGGCATTGCCAATGTTGTGGTAGAGGTTTCCGAGGCCAAGAACCCACATTCAAGTTTATTCTGCATTTTTTATTTTGCTAAATTTGATAGATGCTCAGTACACATTAAGGTTTTTGATGATTCTTTGGATTTGAGTGAGAATTTTGTGTTGTTTGATATTAAGGTTTGTTGGTCCAGAATCACTTTCAAAACATAAACTCAACGTTTAAAATCAAGATTTCTCAAACACAAACAGAAAGTAAAGAGCACAAGAAATTTTTTGGCCAAAGGCCTTAGAGGTTTAGCAACTACTTCTAATGCTTAGTCCCTCGTTGAACATTCATGAGAATTAAGCTCGAATCTATTATACCTACAAAAAATAGGCAAAAGTTCAATTACAAGAACACTCGTACAATACAATCTCCTCGAAGAGTAAACTCAAACAAGAGTTTCACTCTCTTCTCTCAAAAATAACACTCAGTATTTTTAGAGAAAGGTAAAAAAATAGAACAGAGAATATGAACAGTACGCAGCCAATCCAAAAATGATACAAGTGAAACAATAATGGTCACCTAGGCCTATTTATATGAGACTAAACATCAAACGACGCAGGGCTTGCCACTTGTCATCAATCTAAGAGAATTCATTTAACTAAAGGCATGTTAGTTAAGAAATCGCATTTTAGCCAATCCAAAAATGATACAAGTGAAACCATAAAGGTCACCAAGGCCTATTAATATGAGACTAAACATCCAACGACGCAGGGCTTGCCACTTGTCATGAATCCAAGAGAAAATTCATTTAACTGAAAGCGTGTTAGTTAAGCAAATACATTTTAGCCATTCCAGATCCTTCCCTTAATTGGATCAACAATTGGGTCATCAATTTGGGCCAAAACAAGACACGACTTTGGATCATAGTTATAGGTAGCTGGGTCTCACAAAATTTAGCAACCCAAATCTTACAAGGTTTGCAGTGGTGGCGGCAGGCATCATCTAGATGGGTAGTTGTGGCGATAGTGATTGAGTTCCTTTTGGTTTTATGGAAGGGTCGGGATCTTTGGAGAGATGAACAGTAATTTTTCTTTTGGTTAATTATTTAAATTTTTCTTATTATAGAGATTGTAAATATACCATTTTATCCCTCATTTAATTTTTCAAGTTTCAAACATTTTATTTCAAGGTTAACTAATAGAACATTGGATGAAATTTGTCAAATGGACTCCGTCTGCCATTAAACCGAAAGGTTTGGGACCACAACAGAAAAATTAAAATGTTAAGGTATAGCTTGTAGATAATTGAAAGGTTTGGGACCGCTACTGCAATTATCCCTATTTTATAACAGCACTACTTTTTGTGTATGCGTTCTCATCTAAATCAAAAGGTAAATGAAATATATCTTAATTAATAATAAGAAAAAAATATAATTCGAATATATTGAAATAACAATTTTATAACAGTATATAGTGGTAAAATAGGAAATAAGTATTTATCCATTAACATGCACAAACCAATCTGAGATGGTGGCTCATTTAAGCAACACCGATCTTCCGTGTGCTCATTTTTTGTCTTGGTCGAATTGTTTTGCTCTTTGAATTTCAATAAGCTTTAATACCATATTAAGAATTCAAATTTCATATATATATAATAGGCATGTTCCTATAGTGAGATGCCAAGAGGGAAAAGGTTGAGAGGGTGGAAGATAGTGGACTGGCCATTATAGGCACCTGTGTTGAACCTCTATCTTAATTCAAAACTATCACGTAGGTTTTCTAACTGAGCACTGAGCAGTCCCCAAGAGATGAACCCTTGGATTAATAATAATAATACAAGGCCTAATCGAGTTCATGAAATATCCCATGTTGGGTAGTTGGCCAACAAAATTGGAATTATATATCAGATTTAAGATAAGTCTTGCTTACCATAGAAATTGCCGTAATACAAGGAATTTAAATGGTGGATGGTTGCATGATG